TTGTGTGATTTAAAATACCCCTGTTCTATTGAGGTATAAGCTGCAAATTTTGGTAAAGTTAGAAAAATTAACAAATCATTCCAAAAAAAAATACAAAAACAAATAAGCAAAAAACCCCACAATCTAACCCTAAGTTATAGCTTTCTTGGTACATATATGTACCATTACAAAACTGCAAAAAAATTCACTTAGAGAAATTCATTTAGAGCTTGTGATTCTCTACTGCAGCATTGAAAATTCAGTTTAAGGATCAACAAAATTCAAACCATCCCCCAACACTTACCCAGTATCGGGAAGAACTGGTTGACCATAGTTTTAGAATATGGTTGGCATTTTCAACAATTCAGTGATCAGAAAAAAACCCATGGTCGGGGATGGGGGTGGGGGGGAGAGAGAGAGAGGAAGGAGGGAAGGAAGGAAGGGAGAGAGGGAGGGAGGGAGGGAGGAAGGAAGGGAGGGAGGAAGGGGTGGGGAGAGGGAGGGAAGAAGGAAGGACCTCAGGCACTGGAGCTTTGAGGTGAGGAGAACCAGGCCATAGCCTCAGGAGGGACCCACACCTGACTTGTCTTAAACCAGAACCAAGAGCCCCAGGCCGGAGCCAAGCCAGGGCCAGTCCTTAGAGGAGGCTTTCTTCAGGCTGCCTGCACCACAGGAAGACCAGCACACTGACTGCAGAGGTAGTGTGATATAAGAAGAGAGGTGGAAAGAGAGAAGAGAAAGGAAAGACAGGGAGAGGGAGAGTTGAGGGAAGGCAAAGGTGGGTGGGCAAAAGGAATTGTAATAACTTCCGGAGCTGCTGTAACAAAGCACCACAGACGGGGGCGGGGGGCTTAAACAACAGACATTCATTTTCTCACAGTTCTGGGGGCTGAAGTCCGAACTCAAGGTGTCAGCAGGGTTGGTTCATTCTGAGGCTGTGAGGGGAACTCTGTTCCATGCTGCCCCCTAGCCTCTGGTGGTTTGCTGGCAACCTTTGGCGTCCCTTGGCTTGTTGGTGCATCGCCCTGATATCCGGCTTCATCTTCCCATGCATCCCCTGTGTGTGTCTGTGGCCAAGTCTCCCCTTACGTAAGGACATCAGTAATGCTGAAGTAAGGTTCACCTTAATGATCTCATCTTACTTGGTCATCTGCAAAGACCCTATTTCCAAATAAGGTCACATTCCCAGGTACCATAGGACTTCAACATCTTTTGAGGTTCAACCCTCAGTTCAATCCATAACAGTTCAACCCATAACAGGAACACAGGTGAGAAAGAGAGGAGAGAGATGACAGGGGACAGGGGCCATGGGACTGTGTCCAGCCCTTCCTCCCCTAAAGAGCCCTGGGCAGGGGCAGGGTAGCCCCCAAGGCTTTGGGCAGTGACAGAAGGGATGTCTCTAGGGGAAGCCCCATTTCTTTCTTTTTTTTTAAAAGTTTATTTTTTAGTAATCACTATACCCAACGGGGGCTTGAACCCACAACCCCGAGATCAAGAGTCACACGCTTTTTTGACTGAGCCAGCCAGGCTGAGAGGAATATGTGGAGACTAAAAAGACTTTGTGTTTTGTTTGGGGACCCATGGCTTGCTTGGTTCTGTTTCTGAGCAGAAGACATCATGAGGAAAATTCCGGCTGCACAAAGACAGAAGCTAAGAGCCAGGGTTGTAGACTGAGGATTCACTGCTGACATCTGGGTGCTGAAGGGAGGCTCCAGCTGAGAGAAGATGTACAAGCAGCAAAGTAACACCCCCATGAGCCAGGAGCTGGGACGGGGCAGAGCAGCATGTGTAGATGGTCCCAGTGGCCTGGGGCCAGGAGGGCCCACTGCTCCTTCTGCTTGGGGTGACTCTGTCCCTGGGTGAAGTACGTGGGAATTTTATTTCATTCTTAGCAAACTTCAAGTATCATCCCATGATTATGGGCTGTGGGGAATCCTTTTAGGGCTGATCTAAATCCTGGAGTCTCAGAGGACATGCTGACCTCCCTTGACTTGAATCAGAATAGCTATATTGTTGTCTCTATGTTCACTCGAGAAATATTTATTGAGCGCCCACTCTGTGTCAGACTCAGTTCTCTGGGGAAACAGCAGCGAACCGATGGACCAGTTCTCCTTGTAGGGCTTACCTTTTATGGGGGTGGGATGGGGGCATAGACAGCAAAGAACTGAGTTATCTTGTTTATCAAGTGTTGGACAAATCTACAGAGATTCTCAAAGAAAGCAAGGCAAGAGGACGGAATGCCATGCATAGATGGAGGGGCTTCTGGTGTGAAAGGGTGGGTCAGGAGAGGCCTCGCTGAATAGGCAATATTGGAAGAAACATGAAAGCAAGTAAATGAGCCTGATGGCTGGCTTTTTGGGGAAGGAGAGGTCAAGCAAAGGATCAGCCAGGTAAAGGCCCTGGCAGTGGTGGGGGGAGGGGTGGGGGAGGCAGGGAGTTGGCTGGTGAGTTTGAAACCGGTGTTGCTGGAGAGGGTCGGGGAGGGTGTGCTGCCCTGGGGCTGGAGACTGCACATTCCTTGTTCTCTGAAAGTCTTCTGGATTCATTCTTGTTAACCTCAAAATGTCCCAGAAATTCAAAATGACATCTCCCAGAGTGCCTGCCTCTTGAACCTGAAAGCCATATAACTCCCACCCCACTACACCCTGATGTGAGATTTGGAAAATATGGTCCAATCCAGCAATCCTAACTGCTGTCCATCGGGACACTATGGTAGGCTATTAAGAACAATCACATATGACCCACTATGTCACCTCTGACTCTGAATGTCTTCAGGGAAAACACACACACACACACACACACACACGCTGAGCTGGAGCTCTGGAAGAAGCAACTGAATCAAAAGGAAAAACATTTTTTTCCATGAGATGTTTAAGCTCACATTCTAAGATCAAAATCAAAATAGAAAAATGAGCAATTCATTTCAGGAATTCCCCAATGGCAGCCCCCCCCCCCCCCCCGCTCCTGGTTACTGGGCAGACTGGCAGTTCTGCAGTCAGCAGAAGAAATGCACCTCACAGTCATGGTTAGTCACCCTTAATCAGCTATTCCAGCCAGGAGCCCAGGAACTCTGAGCATGCCGGATTCCCTCCTCGCTCCCATCTACATCACCCCCTTGGATCTCATGGCTTCAGGCACCATCCCTGCGCTGCTTTACCATCTGCAGGCCAGACCTCTCCCCCGACCTCCAGCTATCACGTATCCCGCTGCCCACCCTTCATCTCCCCTTGACATCGCCAACTTCACGTGGCCCAACCAGCCGCTGTCATATATCTCCTTCTACCAACTCCTGCCCTTCTCCATCTTGGCTGACGGCAACTTTGTTCTTCCAACTACCAGACCAAAAACTTGAAATCATCCTGGACTCTTTTCTTTCTCTTTACACCGGATATCAATTCACCAGCCGGTTCTATAGGCTCTTCCTTAAAATATGCCCAGAAGCTGACTGCTCCTCGGCACCTCCACTTTGGTCCACACCTTCATCATTTCTCGCTGCAGCAGCACCTGAGCTGGTCTCCCTGCTTCTACCCTTTGCTCCCCCAGTCTGATCCCGACATAGCAGCCAGAGTGATCCCGTTCAAATCTAAGTCAGTGGTGTCTGTCCTCTGCTCGCAACCCTCCGAGGGCGCCCATCTCACTCAGAACAAAGAGGAAAAGCCCTACAATGCCCTCCGAGGTCCTCCGTGACCCCCCCTCACCTCTGACCCCCTTTGTCCCTTTCGTCCTGTTTTTCATCACACTCTGCCCTCCTCACTCTGTCCCTACCACGCTGGATTCTCTGCTGCTCCTGGAAAGGTCTGGCACATGCTCGCTGTAGAACCTTTGCATTTGCTATCCCCTCTGCCCCAGATGCTCATCCCCACATCGTTTTATTCTTTGCTGGACTCCCAGTCCCGGAATAGTTTTGGCACATAGTAGGTGCTCATTAATATTTGTTGGTTGAATAAAGGAGGTTTTACAACTGAAGAACATGCCACTCTTCTCCTGATTTCCCCCCTTAGTGGCCGTGTATACAGGGCATTCAGATGCTCTTGTGGGCAGGAGGGACTTCGGGGAGCATCTCCCCCCAGCTTTCCTCATTCTCAGCAGGATGAGGACAGTGGTCCTGAAGAAGGAGGGAGAGTCCAGCCTAACTTTCCAGATCACTCGTGGGAGGCTCAGGGTGCAATAGATAGCTAGCTGTTTGCATCTATGCCACAGGTACAGCCTTTCTGAAATCAGGAGGGAATACTCTTTCCTGCCCCGGTGGGTGGGGAAAGAAGTCTTCTATGAATGAGATTCAGATCTGAACTTCTGGGATGTTCCTGTTTGGGTTTGGTCCTGGCGATGCCAGTGTTTATTTTGCCCTGGAGTTGTGTTCTGTGGGATTGTGCAAAGCCTTGGAACAGTGAGGGCATTAGGACCAGGAGCGAGGCGCATGCTTGGCTCCCGATGTGTCTGGCAGAGGGCTCTCAGCTGAGCACCGAGCTATGTGTGAAAGGAAATCAGGCGCTGCCTGCCGGCTTCACATCTGTTGATCTGACCTGACTTGAAGCATCCAAAGGAGGACGACTGTCAGCTCCGCTGGACTGAGGACCCACGAGCTCCCCCCAAGACATCGCATAGCAACCTGACCATTCATGCAAGGGGCGGGGGAGGGGGGAGACGAAACACTTGAGACCAAACACCTGAGCAGAATGGAATAATTTTTTTCCCCAAAGAGATAAAGGGGGTAAAGGGGGCAAAACGATTCCATTTGAAGACCCCGCGAATGGGCTTTCAGAAGGCAATTACAGAAATCCACTCAGAGAGGAGCCAGGGTGGGACCTGGGTCCCGTGGCTTTCTGATTGTAAGTGCAAGTCAGTCTCACACATGCTGTTGGCTAATGTCAGATGGGGAAAAAGGAGCAGGTTAAGTGACCAGCAAAAAACTTCCAGGTGGAACTAGGAAGCCAGGTTCTCCTGCACGCCCGAAGGAACCTGGAGCTGGAGGAGGGAGCGGACTTGAATATGACCTGTTGCATTTGGCAAGTTCCGGCAACATGCTGCTAAGAAAGCGATGCCGGCATGGACCGTGCGGACTGCAACTCCTGCTGCTCTTGCTGATGCTGGCATGCGCGCTGCTGATGGTGGCCATGCTGCGCCCTCCCCCGCGCGCCCCACGCCCTGCCCGCACAGCCCAGGCCGCCCCGCGCAGCCCTGATGCTGGGTACCGCCTGCACTTCGGGGAATCCCAGGAATGGGTGCTGGAGGCTGAGGATGAGGGCCAAGAATACGGCCCCCTGGAGGGCCTGCCCCCCTTTATCTCGCTGCGGGAGGATCAGCTCCTGGTGGCCGTGGCCTCACCCAGGGCCAGAAGGAACAAGACCCAGGGCAGGAGAGGTGGCAGCTACCGGCTCATCAAACAGCCGAGCAGAAGGCAGGATGAAGAGGCCCCAGAGAGGGACTGGGCGGCCGAGGAAGAAGATGGGGCGGTATCAGAAGATGAGCCCACCGCACTCAGCCTGGAGGAGGCGTTCAGTGCCCGCATCCCCCTGCAGAGGGCGCTGCCCGAGGTACGGCATCCACTGTAAGTAAGGCCCTGGCTTCCCCTGTTTCTGAGACGTTAGCTGCAGCCTCAGGGATGATAACTTTCTCCGCTCTGCCTTCACTGTCCGAAGGGCAGCAATTCCACTGAGTGAGAAACTCTGGGTGGGTCGGGTGATTTAACCAGCGCTCCCGGTGCGAAAAGGAGGAGCTCTTACTTGCTCTTCTCTTCCCCACCCCGGTTCTAGTCCTTCTGTCTCGGGATTATCAGGTCAAACAGCTTTTTCCATTCAACACATAGTGAGCTTGGGGCAGATGTTCTCCAACCCACGCTCCAGCTCTAACACTCGGCCTTGATACATTTTGATATTATGATTGTTGCTATTGTTTGATTTCCTTTTGGGTCAAAATAACAATTGAAACTAACACTTATGTGACTCCTGCCATCATGCCTGATTTTAATCTAAAAGCTGTTCATATATTAGTCCTTACAACTCTGTCAGATGAGTGAGAGGATTTACCATCAGGCTGATTTTATAGGTATGGAAACAGGGCACAGAGAAGTCAAGTAACTTGTCCACGGTCACACAGCTGGCAGGTATCAAAGCAGGGATTGGAATCCAAGAAGTTCCAGTCTCCCTGGATAGCCACCCCATGCTGCCCTCCTTAGTCTACTAGACTCAGGGCACAGTCCCAGTGCCCAGGGGCCAGAATGCTGTGCTGATGCAGCCGAGCCTGGCAGGGTGGCCCCACCGCCAGGAGGCAAGCTGGGAAGTGTAACAATATGCAGGCTGCACCCAGGGAGAGGCTGAGCTCGCCTTGTACATCCCCTGTCCTCTCCCACCATGACCATGGCCGGCTGCAGAGGAGGGCTCTGGTCCAGCAGCCAGGGCCAAAGTGGCTGGTTAGTTCGGGGAAGTCCCTTCCTGTAAGCCACTGTTGTTCCTAGAGCCCAGAGAGTTTCCCAACAAGCAAACACATGTTCTGACCCTGTGGGTGAGCGGGTCCATGTAGAGCTGCAATCAGGAGCCAGACAATGTACTTCTCTGAGCCCTGGGTGGGGGACGGCGGGGGGGGGGGATGTTCCTGTCAGCCTGACTGTCAGGCGCTCACCCTCGGGGCCGTGCGAATGCAGGTCAGCGCGGGAGAGTGGCTCCTTACATTGCGCGTGTGGGTGCCTCACTCATCTCACCCATCCCAACCCTGCCGTTCCAGCTTCAGGTCCTGGCTTAAGAAGCTCTTTTCAGGAAAGTTCCAGACCCAGCCAGGCCCACCCCGGTGCAATTTTGTGCTCTCAGAAGTTTGAATTCATAACACTCACTACAACCAAAGCTAAATGGTCACTGATGTTTGTTCAATGCTCAGGTCCCTGCCATGCAGACAGTAAAGAAATGAGGGCTGAATGAATGAATATATTGTTTTCAAATTCTCTGGGTACAGTTTTTCTTTGGCCTAGAACAAGGAGTGTCTTCATTTTGCCAACAAGAAACATTGCCTCAAACAAGAGGGTCTCTGGCTACCCATAGGTGTGCTTGTGTGTGTGGGTTGCATGTGTTGCACACGTGTGGTACACACCTATTATCTGAGTTGTACATGTGTATGTGGGCTGTGTGTACTATTCATGCGGTGTGAAGTGCATGAGTGTTTTGGGTGCGTGTGGTGCAAGTACGGGTGAATTTTGAGGCACGTGTGTTGTGCACCTGTAGATGGTATATATGCATATTGTATATGCGGTGCATGTGGTGTGGTGTACATGTGTGTATTGTGAGGTACCGCTTATTTTGCATGTTTGTGGGTACATGTATGCACGTGTATTTGGTGTGTATTGTCTGTGTGCATTGAGTGTGTTGCATGTATGTTGTAAGTGTGTGGGGCGAGTTGTACGTGTGTGTGCGAGTGTGTGGCATGTGTTATGCTTGGGGTGTGAAGTGCATGGGTGTGGGTTGTGCATGTGTGGTGTGAGTGCAGGTACCGTTTGTGTCACGTGTGCGATGTTCACTGACCCATGTGTGTGTGTGCGCCGCTTCAGTGGGTGCCTCTTCAAGCCAGCGTAACCAACTCACCTTAGTTTGTCTGGGACTTTCCGGACTGGGAAACTCCGCAGTCCCAGGCAAACCTGCGCCCAGCCTGCCCCAGTTCTCCCAGGCCCGCCATCAGCTCCGTGTGGAGGTGTGTGGCGCCCTCTGCTGGTCCAGCCCCCCCTTGCAGACTGTGCGGCCGGGGCCTCGGCCCCCAGCGTCTGTTTTCCCCTCTGCAGCTTAGGCGCTGCCCTTCCGGCCCCTCTCAGGACACACAAGGGATTCTCTGCAAAGTGAGGCAACAAGCCCCCGCACTCCCTCCAGGGTGACCGGCCTCTCCTCCTCTCTCCACTACAAAACCAGGCCCAAATACAGCTCATAAAAGAACAGCCGTGTAATAAGCGCCTACTCCGTGCGAGTCCTGCACTGCTTTCCCACCGGGGCTAGGAGAACTCTGGAAATTCCAGTGCCTCTGCCTTTGGCTATGGTGTGCCGAGCACCACCCATCCTAGGGCTTCTTGCAAGCCTGTCCTAACCCAGACAAGTCCTGCGGGCCCCAATTCATGCACCAAAATCTCCAAACCAGTCCTGGCCTTTGCTCACTCCCCCCAGAAAGCCTCAGGCTTTTTCTGAGGACCTCTAGGGTCACTGCTGAAGGTCATGTTGAAAAGGGGCATGCAAGGAAGTCAGTAATAACCCAAGACTGAGACAGGAAAAAAAATCAGTGTAAAAAGTCAAAAGGCAGGCTCTGGAAAGAAAGGCAAAATCACAGTGAACACTTCCTATGTGCTAGGGACCCTACTAAGTGGTTTTCATTCACTTAATCTTCATAACGAACCCATAAGCTGGATACTAGTATCATTTCCATTTTACGGATGTGAAAACTGAGGCACAGAAAAGCGAAGGGACTGAAGCCAGGTTATCTGACCAGGTGTGTCTGGCACCAAAGTCATGTTTGTAACCGCCACATTGTACTTTCTGGGCAAGTCACTTGGGTTGGAAGCCTTTCAAGTTTCTCCACCTATAAATTAGGGAGAACTCACACGGGTCCACAGGGAGACACGGAGGAGGGAGGAGGACGTCTGTCACAGCGTCCTTGGTGGCACTGAGGAGTTGGAGGCCACCTGGGCACATGATCAGGGGGCGCTGGGGGAGCTGGGTGCAGCCCAGAGGCACTCTGAGGGAGGTAGAAGTCACAGGCTCAGGGCACAATACTGATGGGGGGAGGCCTTCAAGCACCATGCGGAGCGAAACAAGTAAGATGCAGAAAAGAGGTCCGTAGCATGACATCACTGGGGAAATGTGAGCCCCATGCACACTGACCAGTGTGTTCTTTATAAGAACAGAATGAAGCTCCATGCACTGGCCGTGCTGTGGGGAGGGCAGGGTCCTGGGGCCAGGGGCAGGACTAGAAGTGAATGATTACATAGACGAAATAAAGAGAAATAAAGAGCCCCAGACTGAAGATGAAGGTTGACTCAGTCCTTCAAAGCTGCTATTAAAGAGGGGTTTGGGAGGAAGAGGCCTTGCCCATTCAGCCTCGTGCGGCATGACAGCTTTCGAGGCTCTGCCAGGCCCAGCTCTCCTTTGAACATCCTGGCATCCAGCGTGGGGCAACCGATTGCCAGGATCAAAGAGGCTCCCAACTGAGAAAGTGCTTTGTAAACTCCTGGTCCAGGCAGTGGCCCTCAAACTTGAGTTCACATGGAATCACCCAGAAGCCTTGCTAAAATGCGGATTCCTGGCCTCCCCTCGTACATTGTCTGATTCACTAGGTCAAGGGTGGGGCCCAAGAATTTGTTTTCTACAAGTTTCCTGGGTGATGCTCCAGCTGCTGATCCGAGGACACTCTTTATACCCAACAGGTTAGACAGAGCCGCACTTCTCAAACTTTAAAGTGTATGTAACCCCTCCCCCCCAGGCATCTTGTTAAAATGCATAGTCTAATGTAGTAGGCCAGGGGCTCGGCCCCAGATTCGACACTTCCTTCAAGCTCCTAGCTGGTACTGGCTCTTCTGGTCCACAGACCACATTTTTGAGCAGCAAGGGGCTACATCACTGGTTCACCAAAGTATATACTTGTCAGATTCCCCCATCTTACTTGTTAAAACTGTAGATTTTCAGACCCCTTTGCTGGAGACTCTCCATATAGTTCTGAGTTAGAGTGCAGCGATCTGAATTTTTAAAAGCTGATCTTAGTTCGGGGAACCACTGATTTGGACAGTGAGTGGAGAGGAAGTAGAGCTCTGGAACCTTCCATGGAGGAGGTAATACTGGGATTGGAAAATAGAAAAGAGAGGCAGAGAAGAACACAGTCCCCTTCATGACCCAGAGTTTTGTACTTAAATGCAAATGTCAGCTCAGCCGTACCTGGCTGTGTGCTACCTACTTGCATCAATTTAGAACTTGCGTTCCTATTTTGGCCTGTGTCTCCCTGGTTTATATCCCCACAACTGTGACCAACTCATACGCCCAAAGAACAGTGGACCTGGGGCTGAATCCTGGTCCCAGCTTTTCCTGTGGGACCCCGTGTGATCACTCAACCTCTCCACGCCTCTGTTTCCTTTAAAATGTAGCTAAAATAACACCCTCACGTGGGGTTGTAGGTTAAATGAGATAAAATGTGTGATGACCTCCCCCCTCAGTAGTCAAGTCCAAACAGAAGGTGTCCTTGTCATATTCTTAAGTGTAGGGCCTAGGAGTGAAATGAGAGATGGAGAAAAGTCCGAGCAGGCAGCTGTGGACATCACGTCACTGTCTTATCTCTGATCAAAGAGTTATTTTCTACCCCATGGGCTGCTGAATCATCACTGATTTGGTGGCACAGTGGAATTACCTGGTAAGTGGTAAAAACTACTCATGCCAGATCACGCTCCAAGGGATTCTTACTTAGTTGGTCTGGGGAGAGGCCTGGGCCTCCCCAGGTAGTTCCAATGCACAGCCAGGGCCGAGGGCCAGGGCTGTGAGGCACCAGGTCCACCGCCAGTGGGGAGATGCAGGAAGGGGTATCCTCTCCTTTGTTCCC